CTGGAGGGAGAGGGGAGCTGGCAAACAGGGAGAACCAGCAGCCTGGAGAACCCAAACACACAGGAAGACAAGGACAAGGCCAGCTCCACCATCACTCCTGGCTACTAAGGGCTCCCTCCAGGTGTATCCCAGAACCCCCAAGGACCAGCCTTGCTGGGCAACACTTTCACTGCTGTCCCAGGAGGGAGGAAGGTTTTCCTTCTGCACTTGACTTGTTTTTGTCTGTGCGGTGATCCCCTTACACCGTGAGAATCACAGAACCAGGGAATGGTTGGGGTTGGGAGGGACCTCAAAGCCCACCCAGTGCCACCCCTGCCATGGGCAGGGACACCTTCCACCAGCCCAGGGTGCTCCAAGCCCTGTCCAGCCTGGCCTAACAAAGACAACCATGACATGAAATGATATCCCCCAGCAGAAGATTTCATTTTGTGTTCTGGAGACAGTAATCTCCTAAAATACAGTTTATTTATTCTTAAATAAGATCACAAGATCAAGACTTCTTTGGGAATATGGGGATAATGTTAAAAAGTTTGGGGTTTTTTGATTTCTACATCAAGTTGCATTAAACCCTAAGTCCAAAATACAAAAAAATAGTTGAGCCCTTGTTTTCCCAGAAAATTGTGGCTGCCCCNCCGACAAAGTCATCAGACCTCTGGTTCTGCAGCTGAACATGAGGATGCCTCGTGCCAGGGGGGCCCTCGCTGCTCACCCAGGAGCCGCTTTCACAACAGGGAACATTTCCGTCAGATCTCGCACCCCGACCAGGGCGGTGACACTGCTGCCTGAAATCACACGCTCGGCTCCTTCACCACCTGTTTTTTCACGACCCAAAGCAACAAACACTTCAAACCCAGCACCTGCAGACCCAGGCAGCCCAGAAACCCGAACCACCTCAGGCAGGGAAAGGCCGAAACGCTCCAACCCTTCCTTTCCCCTGGGAGTTTCCCGCACCTGATTCTTTTCAGAGCAGACGCCAAAAACAACGCTCAGATTGTGTCGGTTTGTTGTTTTTGTTTTTTTTTTTCCCCCTTCACACCGCGATTCAAAAAAGCTTTCGCACGGCGGGAGTGTGAAGCCGCAAAGCTGCAAAGCGAGTGAAAGCAGCTCGGCCCGGGCGGGCCGTGCCTCAGCTCCCGTCCTGCCCTCAGCGATCCCTGAGGACCGGCCCGAGAAATCAATGTTTTTTGCTGAACCGCCAAAACAAGAAATCTGTGGGGTTTGGGGAGGGTTTTTTAACGGACTTTTCAGCGAATCGAGCAACTCTAGGCCCACGGAAAGCCGGCGGGAGGAACCGCGAGGGGAGGCCCCGGGCACGGCCCCGGCCCCGGACGGGGCCGGGGCC